TCTTTATCTATATTTTTGTATATCTGAGTTCATGTCTGCCTATCTATTTTAGTCGTTTTCTTTTTTTGGTTGCATACTAAGCCCTATTTTCCTAATTCCTCACAGAGGCTCCAACTTTTTATATCTGCTTTGTTCCTTTGATATCAATTTATTTATCGCGCATCAATTTCCGTTTGTATTTTTACTTTCAAACTTGCTTTTCGAAAGTATTTCTTTTTACTTGTTCGTTCCATGGCTGATTTGTATTATGATTTTGTTTACATTCATACCTTATGCTTACTATCTTTCTGATTATTCATATTTAGGTGCTATTTGTGTTGCATCAGTATGACATCAAAACTCTTATTTTTGGCCCTCTTCCTCGTTTTCCCTCTTCCTTATCTTACTCCTTTGGCCGCTTGCCATCATTTACTGAAGCTACGATATCACTCTCCCATCTAATCCCCTCTATATTACCGATTTTACTTTATGATACATTATTTCTTTCCGGGCAAGAAGTCATCAGATGGTCACTGACTAGTAGACCTCAGCTTTCCTCAATCCACTCCTGGGCTTCTAGCTACTTATCCACACGTATGCACATACATGGTTGCTGAGACAGAGATTGCATCCTCAATATTACACACTCTTTCATCAGATCCCGGGTTTGCACATTTTTCACGTCAACGCCTCACCCGTTAGACACTTGATTTCTCTAATCATTCACCAATCTTCATAGAGTGGAAAAATCGGCAGTTAGGTGGATGGTGCAGATAACCTCGTGTATGTGTATACACACAGCAGACAATTTCACACCACACGCACAAATGATAATCACACAATCCTCATATGCAAATGCACTCAACGGTGTCGAAGCACACACGGAAACGCCCTCATTCGGTCAGTCCGTGATGCAGTACACCCAGATGGTCCATGTGAAAACTCCGTTTCCCTGGCCTCTAGTGTGGCTTTGTCTTTTGCCGGTAAATAAAAAACACAAATGCTCAATTCTGACCTTGGTCCACACTTGCAGACCCCACTCTATGCTATCCTTTGGAGTTGGACTGTGTTCTTTCAAAATTTTACTTCTCATTTCTGTGAGTTCTTCTGTGAATGCAGATCTACTGGAAATTTCCAAACCAGCTGCACCACGTAGATGAACTTTCACGCGGACAGAAGAGTACTTAAGCCTGCACACATACATACACACGTGCACATATAACCCAAGCACTTATGAGCATGAAATCACAGCAGGGAGAATGATAGCACCTCACAAAAGTTCGTATTGACACATTGCTCGAAAATCGACCTAGTATAAACTTTTATCATTAAAAATTGCGTGAGGTATCAGAAAACTAAGCCTTTATATGCCCTGAGTTAGGATTTCCCGTCAAGGGTTTTTCCAGACGGATGGTATTAAAGAGTTTCTTGGCCAGGTCAATAGTCGACAGCGTGTCGTTAGTTTGTTAATTTCGTGAATTTCATGCTTTCAAGCTGCTTGCGGCACAACATTTCGGTTCTGAATAAACACATAATCATGATTCAAACTCACCTCTCAATTGAGCCCTATCAAGACTTGTCTACAAGTTTGCTGAATCTTGCGTGCAGTGAGTTTTTCTACACTCAAGCCAGATTTATTTCGAGCTAGTGACAGGTATTCTATCCGGCCAGACATTCTAACCAGTTAACCGATGTTGGAGATTTACGACTTGCTCATGGATTTGCGAATATGCCAGTTTTTCTTTGTGTAATCTTACAGGCCATGTCCGTAGGACAGATCTTTACTACTCAATTGGTCGTGGTTATGTGGAAGATGATTTATGAGGGTTTTTTTTTATTCATTTACACAGTGAGCAGTTTTGAATGATTCTTGAGCAAGAACTTAATCACTTTAGGTTGCCTAATTGTGTTGTCTCCAAGTTACACAGGATTATGAAGTCTGCTACATCCAGAGTGTTACCAAATGTTTTGGTACCAAGACAACACAGTTTACCAAGACTCCTTTGGACGAAAATTGATAAGATTGCATTCTTGCCGTAATCCACACAAAAGGTGCTCGTTTAAATCTATTTACTTGCAGGCCGGTACTGGTTATTTTTCGTTTATAAGTACGCGCAGATCACATTCAAGAGATGTGTCTATCCTATTTCGTTTAAGGTGGTTGGATTTCCCGACAATCATGTGAGCAGTGGTTACATTTCTCCTGCATTTCAATGGTCATTTTAATTTGAATGGAAGCTCGTCTCGTCGTCGACGGATCGATGTGACGAAGTTTTTCGGGCTTTTTATTTGGGCCATCCACACGATGAGTCGAGAAGCGGACCGACATTTGCTGTCATTTTAACTCTTGCCCGCATTTCTCATTTCAAATGTCTTGTTTCAACCGGTCCAATTGAACGGCCCCGTTTTTAGGATGCATGAAGAGGCAGTCAAACGTGATTTCGATAGGACTGCACAAATGCACAATAAGGTCAGCTATCGAGCCAGGGTCAGAGGGGAAAGACGGTTACGTCGGCGCCGCTAGCCGCAGAAGTCTTCTGATTCCCACAGACTTGGAGGCTCTACAACTGCTCGGATCGATTGTTGACGCTTGCGTTTCGAAACAGGTCACGTCTGGCATGATAGGCTATGCACGACACAATTGGCGCGGTGATTTGAACTCGCGTAGGCCGCATAACCTCTGGCCTCATTGCAGTGTGTATGTGTGGATTAGACACGTACAGACGTGCTGGTGGAAGGGTAGCGAGTGGCCTAGACGCACGGCGCATGACCATCGATCGATACTACGACCTGGCCAAGATTAAGCTCATGGGCTCGACTGTGGGAAGTGCAGCTCTGCTGGTTAAAATAAAAGTGGGCTTTTGGAGTTAAACGGATGCGTAGAAAGGGTAGTCCAACGGGTTTGGTAGTCGAGACAACGTCTAATACATTTATTTGGTATTTCTGCATCTCTGCTTGGTGCTTTGGTGGCTGGGTTGGAAAATTTGGGCGATTTAGGCTTGCCTTTGCAGGCGACATGATTACGCCACCGAAGGGCCAAAATGTCACCAATTCCACGGCACATGATTACTTTCACTCATTGAATGCCTGAGCCTTCAAGGTTGCCTGGCCCCTTTTTGTCCTTTGCAAGGACACATTGGCCTAATGGGTTCAGCTGCCTCGAGGCAAAGTTCAATTCGGTCAATTTGTTCCAGGCCTTCTGTCTCTCTTCAGGTCAAGTCTGCAACCAATCATGCTTTTCCGCATCACTATTCAGCCCTATTTGAACTGGCAGCAATTAAAACTTTGTGCATTTAAGAATATCTATATGTATATATAAATGTGTGTGTGTGTGTGTGTATGTATGTATGCATATATGCATATATATTCTATAATTGATAACATATTGGGCCGAATGCCGGTTGTCCGGCGCGTATTTTTAGTTGACGTGACATTTGAGGCAATAATGAATGCCGTTCTGGCCCATTCTGGCAATCTGCTCTCTGTTTGCGGTTGACTCTTCCAGCCGCCTGTCTGTGCCACCGTTCTGCGTCTGTCAGCTGGTCTGCTCAACTTTCCATTCCTTTTATGGCCTAATTAGCCCCAAAGCAGCCTTCAGCCAGCCTCGGTACAAATGCACCTCTACAGATTGATTATTTTCTCGCCATTGGATCGAGTCGAATTGAGCAAATTGACGCTGAGCCGTAACCGCCGGCAACGGGTCCGATTCGATCACTTTCATGTGAAGAAAAGTTGGGTTTCGAGGAATCTCTTGTTTCATAATTGTTGAGCTCACTTCCATTTCGAGTGAAAGTGTTGCGTGAAGAGATTCA